AGGATGATGGAAAGATGCCTGAAAGCGCAATATTCAGGCAAGTTAAAGAGAAAGTAGAAGCGACGATTTGAGCCGCGTATGCCTTGGGCTGAAGGTTCAAAGGGTATATCTTTTCCAGTGAAAATGCCACAGTTCTGAAATCCCGATTAACGCCTCTATGTACTTCCATAGCAGATGAAGCGGCTACGGAACAGCTAATCCGTCCAAACTTGATATCGGATACTCATAGAGAACTCGCAGAAAATACCCCAACCCATGCTCCAAATGTGCTTGGGATTTATTTGTTTATTTATCGAAGACGTTGAATAGGACAAACGTAAGAAACAAAGTAACATACATAGTTATAAGACAAGTGCTTTTTCTTGGCAAAGAGCTTGAAAAGTGCAAACGTGGAACGTCTAATGTTGGTTTTCGCTCAAATGGATGGGATGGCTTGGAAAAGGCGCTTCAACGGTTATAGATTTTCCGGGTACCGTAACCATGCCAGTGAAATTTTCAGTTAACTCACTTACTTCAACGGTTATGGATTCACCGCTACTGTAACCATGCCGATGAAATTCTCAGTTAACTCACTTGATCGGCACAGCTGTCCGTAAAAACCTGGCTTGCATATACAGATCGACATGGACCTCGTACCACCGTTGTCGCATATCGGCTCGTCGCAGTACTCTCCACTATATCCTTCAGGACAAACGCATTCACCGAACTGATTCGCTCTTCCTCCAGCACACGCGGTAGCTAAAGATGTGCAATAAAGCATAAAAGGAGATAATAATAATTATCTTCTCATAGAACAGAGCCCTGACGTGTCGGTTCGTCGGACTGTCTATGAACCTGTCCATCCACCAAACTCCCCAAGATGATCATAAAGGTAGTGATAAGGCAAACTCAACGCAAACTGGCCTAATAACCGTCTGGAGGAAACACAACAGCTAAGTTTGGCGTTTAGCAAAGACCAGATCGTCTATGTTTACTTCGATTCGGTAGTTCCGACTTGGTAGCGGCCAATTTCGTAAGGAATATTAGGCACAGAAAGTGATCGTATAAAGCCGACTGAAGGCAGAAGTGGGACTGTACCCCGGTTTAATCGTTCTACATTGATTTAATAGTCACCTGTATCGTTAAACTGCGAGAAGAAGAATGTTCTCTGAAAACGGAAATTCGTCGACGTTTTCCCGAAAACTCGCATTTTGACCAATGCCGCTGATGTCATCTGAAACAGATCATCATATTACGGCCATTAGCTACGTTTCCGAGACAGTTCGCCCCTTTTGCTCGACTTTTTCACATTTTGAAACCGTCGAAAAGACTATTACCTGGAAATTTGTGGTAATATACTGATAGGAGCAAGTCTTTTCATCACGAGGTCGAACCTCGACCGAGTAAAGCTTGTCATCGCCATTCACATTTGACGATCCCTGTTCAACTGTGTTCACAACGAAATCCGTGGATGGGACCCGAAATGCTGCATAAATTCGGTTGTCAGTACCTGAACTATTACACTGATTAATTTTATGGAAAATATTCTATATAAACAAGATGAAGCCGGTGACCACCTCTCGCCGTAAATGGAGAACTTGCCACATAGTCGTTGTCAGCGTTCGAGGTAAACCCTGGTAATACCGTAAGTGGAGAGATGACGCGTGCCTCAAAAAAGTTCGATAAGATAAACAAAAGGTTCATGTATAGGAAAGGGGCAAATCGTATGCGATTTTAATCAAATCTCAACTGTAAAATAGGGTGATCCAAGACATTCTGTATGGAAACCCGTCAAAGCTAACCCAGTCATCCGTCCCTCCAGGATTGACTATTTGGTACCAGGCTGATTTGAGATGATGGTACCAGGAAAGTTGTTTGAGGACGTTTTTCCGAAGGTCTGCTATAGAAAGCGGAACCGAACCCATCAGTTATTCAAAATTCCGCTAATGCAATTGTGGATCGGAAAAGTGACTTTTGCTTGTGACTGTAAGGATTAACACGAATAGGAGCAGCCTTGGAAAGGAGTTGTGAACTTCAAACTCTCGAAGTATCGTTGCTTTCCGTATTTTTCGATTAAGTTTTCAAAGTTAACAGGAGTTTATTAACGGGCGTTCCGCTAGAGTGGACTTTTTCGGTGCATCCCGTTGCCAAAGTCAAGGAACGTCATTCATTAAAAACGATACCAGTCTTAGGAACTCATCGCAAAAGTGGTCACCACCGCTGAGACCTGCCGGTCTTTCAACACACCCGAAAGTTCATTAAGGAACGAGTGCACCCGATTACCAAGCCTTTCTGGGTTATACGCAATCGGATCATTTTCAAAAAAAAAAGAAAAGAAAAATTTGGGTGGCCCAGACAAGTTCAGGTTCACTGATGCCGTTTCCTTTTCTCAGTACATCAGTCCATAATCTTCTCAACTGTTTTCCAATAGATTTTCAAACAGAAAAACCAAAACTTTACATACCTGAACACGACATGGACCAGAAGTCGTTTTCACTGTTAAAACCCATGCTTCGGCAAGTCGTTTCACTTCGGATAGATCTGAATTAACAAATAAAAAATATGGAAATGATCTCAAAGTACAAAACCTGAAAGTCTTACCGACGGCCAAAGTGATAGTGTTTTTGTCCGAGTATATCGTGTGCCCATTTGTATCAATATCGTCATCTAAGTTTAAAAACAATTGTCAAAGACAACAACATACGCTAATTTCTAGCAAACCATCACCTTCTGAGCGTACCCGGAAAAAATTTAAAAACAAAATTTAGAACTTCAGCACACATTCATCTAGCGAATTAAAACATTTTGTACTACCCACAAATATGATAAAGAAAGTCTAAACCTGTGTAGTGTTGCCCCACATGCCGAAAGAAGCCGAGAGTGCATTATGTAAATTATTTGTTTATTTGTTTGTTTACTGGGCTATTGTTTAAGCGATTAAGGCAAGTGAGACGCATGTAATGAAATTAAAACGTGCTCCCCTTGGAGCTGAGAATCATCCTGCACTCTTCCAGATGATAACATAAATGTCTGAA